TCCCCACTCGTTACTCTCTCTCCCATTGATGATATCCCTCTCTCTCCCCCGGAGAGGGTTTTAACATCCAGGGAAACAGGGAGGTCAGAGTTAGTGGGTTTCATTTCCCATGATGCACCTGGCTCTCTCTCCCCCTCTCCCTCACTCCCTCTCTTTCTTTCCCCCTCTCCCTCCCTCTCTCCCGCCCGCTCTCTCTCTTTGTCTCCCTCTCCATCCCAGAGAGGGTTTTAACATCCAGGGAAACAGGGAGGTCAGAGTTAGTGGGTTTCATTTCCCATGATGCACCTGGATCCCCACTTGTTACTCTCTTTTCCCATTGATGATCTCTCTCTCCCCCGGAGAGGGTTTTAACATCCAGGGAAACAGGGAAGTATGAGTTAGTGGGTTTTATTTCCCATGATGCACCTGGCTCTCTCTCCCCCTCTCTCTCTCTTTCCCCCTCTCTCGCCCACTCTCTCTCTCTCTCCGTCTCCCTCTCTCCCCCGGAGAGGGTTTAACATACAGGGAAACCAGAGTTAGTGGGTTTTATTTCCCATGATGCACCTGGATCCCCACTCGTTACTCTCTGTCCGATTAATGATCTATCTCTCTCGCCCACTCTCTCCCCCGAAGAGAGTTTTAAAATACAGGTAGGTCAGAGTTAGTGGGTTTTATTTCCCATGATGCACCTGGATCCCCACTTGTTACTCTCTCTCCCATTGATGATCTCTCTCTCTCTCCATCCCTCTCTCCCTCCCTCCCGGAGAGAGTTTAACATACAGGGAAACAGGGAGGTCCAAGTTAGTGGGGTTTATTTCCCATGATGCACCTGGATCCCCACTCATTACTCTCTCTCCCATTGATGATCTCTCTCTCTCTCTCCCTCCCTCTCTCTCCTGGAGAGGGTTTTAACATCCAGGGAAACCAGAGTTAGTGGGTTTTGTTTCCCATGATGCACCTGGATCCCCACTCCTTTCTCTCTCTCCCTCATTCCATTAATGATGTCACTAACTGGACTCTCTTCCTTTCCAGTAGTCTTGCGTCTGTAAAGTCATGTATCTATGCCTTTTTTCTACTAAATGCAGTTTCCAAAGACAGGAGCTTGGATTTACGCTCCTTGGAACAATACTGGCTTTCACTTTTTTTCCTCTCAATAGTTTCCGAGAACAGGATTTGAGGAAAACAACAAGAAAAAAATATACACTTCAAATTCAAATAGGAGGAGGTAGAATGAAACAACAGGCCTTATAAAAAATATTCTCCCTCTTATTCTCTCACCATATGGAAAATGTTCCCACTCAAGAACAGAACATATGGATTCTACCTTAAAAATAAATAAATAAATAAAAGGACCCAAATAAAAATCTTAAGTCTAGCTCCTTTTTCTTCAATAATCACATTGAAAAAACACATTTTTATAGAATAAATATCGCACATCTACTCCAAATAAATGACCACTGAAGCACCTTACTAGCTTAAATGCTAAAGCGAGACAGATTTCATGATATGAGGACAGTAATGTGTAAAAAACTAGTTACCGAGGCAGTTTTCTGCGTCGATCTGCTCTATCAGGAACTCCACACAGGCGGTTTTCACAGTTTCCACCTGGTACTGGTCAGCCGCCTGCAGCAGCTGCTGGACGTTGCTGCAGTTCACGGAGATCCTGAAGAGAAAAGAGCAGGAAAAGGGGATTTATTTAAGTCCATCAGGAAGCCGAGGATGGATATCCAACTCCGCCCACATCCAGGTAGGCGATTTTGATTAGGTCACCAATAGGAAGATCCCAGGCAAGAAAATCCCAATTGCTTCATGGCAATATAGACATTTATTTAAAAATTAAAACGCTGAATTAAACTCTATCCATAATATTATGTTAAAATAGTGGATGTTAAACAGGTTTGCACAATAAGTCCAAACAAGTTTAATCAAAAAATATTTATTTCTCACAATTATGAAGGGTTAGGGTTAGGGTCAGGGTTAGGTTTAGGGTTAGGGTCAGGGTTAGGTTTAGGGTTAGCGTCAGGGTCAGGATTAGGGTCAGGGTTATGGTTAGGTTTAGGGTCAGGTTTAGGGTTAGGGTCAGGGTTAGGTTTAGGGTTAGGGTCAGGGTCAGGGTTAGGTTTAGGATTAGGGTCAGGGTTATGGTTAGGGTTAGGTTTAGGGTCCGGGTTAGGGTTAGGGTCAGGGTCATGTTTAGGTTTAGGGTCAGGGTTATGGTTAGGTTTAGGGTCAGGGTTATGGTTAGGGTCATGTTTAGGATTAGGGTCAGGGTCATGTTTAGGGTTAGGTTTAGGGTTACAGTTAGGTTTAAGTCAGGGTTGGGTTTGGGTCAGAGTTAGAGTCAGGGTTAGGGTTAGAGTTAGGTTTAGGGTTAGGTTTAAAGTCAGGGACATCGTTTATATTCCGATTTCGTATAAACAGTAAAATTTCCTTTCCACCTCAGAAAGCTGCTAGTCACATGACCTAATCAAAATGGCCGACTTGGATGTAGGAGGAGTTGGCCCGTGGGGGGCCAGGTTCCCACCGTGCCGTGTAGATGAAGTCGACCAGATTCTCGATGGCGTCGGGCTCCACTCCTCTGATTTCCACCTCCCGAGAAGTGGACTCCTTCATTTTGGCTGCAAGCACAGACAAACCATCATGATTCTTCATTTAACTTAACCCTTCAAAGCCTGATCCAAGAAAAATAGGGAGAATATTGGATTTTTTTTAGTCTGAAGTCTTTCTTTGGCCCCTCAACAACATATGAAGAAAAAAAAAACATATTATTTTGATCAAATTAGCGTGCAATAA